AGAGAGAGAGAGAGAGAGAGAGAGAGAGAGAGAGAGAGAGAGGAGCACCAGTATGGTTAGTTGTTAGTGAGATTTTGAGTTTATACTAAAATAATATTTAATATAAAATAATTAAAGTTGATTTGATGTAAAAGTAGAAGACAAATGATATGAAGTGATTATTAGTTAAATTACGTGAGTGGATGAATATAGAATTAAAGTTGATGTAATGTGTAAGAATGATTGAGTGATATTATTTAATTATATTGATAATATTGAGAATAATGAAGTTTAGTTAAAATTAAGTTAGATTGGAGTTAAAAAAGTGACTAGTTAAAAATAATTAGATTTTTTGAAAAAAAAAAAAAATATGTATCCAAACAAGCTCTTAGAGCCCTTCCAACGCTACACTATTTATTTGTATTTTGCGCTAAACTGGCGCAAAGTCTTTCTAGAAGAAATAAATGAATAGTGTCGCGTCACTTCTGCCGCAACATTGTAGCTGTAACGCTACAATTCAAGACATCAAGCTTAAATCGGGCACGCTTTTACTAACGTGGCATGTACACGTGGATTTTCTATCATAAAAATTAATTGAAAAAAAAAATCTACCACCTGTGCAAAATTTCCAAATTTAACTATAGTTTTCTATGTTTATCTTCTATATTTTCTATATGTGTCGAAAATTTAAATTTATACACACAAATTTTCAGTATATCATTATTTATTATTTAACGATGATAAAAAGTGGTTAGCTTAATTGTATACGATCAAATTTTTTTAATGGTTGTGTATTAGTTGAAAAAATATGATTTAATTATAAGAAATTTGGTAGTTCTTAATATTTAGGATTTAATTTTAAATGATGGGTGTTTAAAATATTTGAAATGATCTTAAAAAATATTATTATTTATTTATTTTATTTTGGAAATATGCATAAAAATATGTATCCTACAATATAAATCATTTTTTCTTACAGATAAAAAAATTTGAAAACAAAAAAAATTAAGGCGTGAACATATTAATTCAGGGGTTATATATAATACTTCATCAGATAAGTGTCAAAAATTTTGGTTAGCAAATACTCATCATGGTATCATGAGTGCAAAATTTAAGTTAATCTCTCATTATTTTGGAAATTAAAATGATAGATTATTTTTACGGATATACTTATCGACAAATATTTAAATTTGTCAAACCGAATTTTTATTATAACCGATATTTGAATATACTGAGAAGAAAAATAGTTAGATATTTTTATTTATGAAATAATTATTACATGATAACTTGTAACTAATTGAAAAGGTATTTAAGATTTTCGTTGGATTGAACTTAAATTAAATTTTTATTTTATTTAAAAAAAATGATGGGAAAAAGAATTGGGTATATAATTATCACAAAAAGCATATATACTTAATTATTCTCGATCCTAAATAATTTGAACTTATTACTTATTGAGCAAGAAATTAAAATTGTTGTAATTTCACTAATATTCAAAAGTTGAATACGGTCAGCTAATATTCAATTCAATTTGAATTTGACATCACAATTTATTATATTATATTAGATAAAAGAAAAAGATAGGGACATAAAATCTTCCTTTTCCTATTTGACTTAGGAACCTTTCCCAATTCCATATAGGATTGTATTAGCATAGAAAAGGTTGTATAAATAGGAAACGCGACCAACGCACACTTCCAAGAACTCGTATATCGCTCGCAGGCACGCACGCACGCACGCACGCACGCACATACTATTCAATCCATCGATTGATCAATGGGCATGATGAGTAAGATCCTATTGCTGGTAACGTTGCTGGGCATGCTCGCCT